CTTCCGGCGCCTCTCGGGGTCGCGGCCGCGGGCGCGAGCCCCCCGACGCTCCGCCTGCTCCAGCTGGGGGAAGACCCCGTCAGACACCCCGAAACCGGGAACGGGGGGCTGGACTGGGCAGGGCGCGTTTGTTCTGTGCTCCCAGGGAAGGTTTGGGGGTCTCTGGGGCAGTTTTGGGGGGTTCTGTGTTCCCAGGGAAGGTTTGGGGGTCTCTGGGGCAGTTTTGGGGGGTTCTGTGTTCCCAGGTAAGGTTTGGGGGTCTCTGGGGCAGTTTTGGGGGGTTCTGTGCTCCCAGGGAGGTTTGGGGGTCCCCGGGTCAGTTTTGGGGGTTCTGGGGGTCCCCGGGTCAGTTTTGGGGTGCCCGTACCTCGAGCAGCAGGCGGAACAGGGCCAGCGGGGGCGGGCGCGTGGCCTGCAGCAGCCGCCAGATGCTCTGGGCCTCGTCCAGCGTCACCTCCAGCAGGTCCCCCTCCATCATCAGCTCCTCCAGCGGCCGCCGCGTCCCCTCGGCCAGCTCCAGCACCGGCCCCTGCAGCCGCGGCAGCGCCGCGCTCAGCGCCTCCAGCTCTGCGGGGACACCGCGGGGACATGGTGGGGACATGGTGGGGACACCATGGGGACATCATGGGGACACCACGGGGACATGGTGGGGACACCACGGGGACATGGTGGGGACACCACGGGGACATGGGGACACCGCAGAGACGTGGTGGGGACATGATGGGGACACCACAGGGACATGGGGACACCGAGGGGACACCAGGACCCAGGGGGTGCTCAGCGCCTCCAGCTCTGTGGGGACACCGCGGGGACATGAGGACACTGCAGGGACCCCCACAGATCCACAGGGTCCCCCCCCGCACCCCTCGAGCTATCAGGGATCCACAGGATCCCGTCACCCCCCGCTCAGGGGGTCCCTCTGTCCCTCCCCAGGTGGGATCTGCTGGATCCCCGTGGGTCCCCAAGCCCCCGATCCCGCTCACCCGAGGGCAGGGGGCCGTTCTTCTCCGGGCTGGGGGCGTCCCCGTTCTCCACGGACACCTGGGGGGAAAGGAGGAGAGGAGTTCTGGGGAGCTCAGCCTCCCTCACCCCAAAACCTGCCCCAGAGCCCCCAAAACCAGCCCCAGAGCCCCCCAAACCAGCCCCAGAGCCCCCCAAACCTGCCC